AAGAGATACAGTTTTGCATCTGAAGAAATACATTAATTAAAGCCATACATTGCACTCTGTTTTCTGAATGTTTAAGTGCTCTGCAAAATTACATCCCAGCTGAATTTTTCCACTACAAATTTTCCTTTCTTGGTTGTGTCATCTTCTTAGTTAATCAGCTCTATTCCTTATATAATCTTTTAGAATTCAATTTCTTTCCTCAAACGAGATATCACTAATTCCTTCCAAATACATAGAAAACTTTGTGACTTGCACATGCTTTTTGTTCCCATCTCTGCCCTCTCTGTCCACCAACATAGACAATTTCTTTGTCCACTCTCTCACCATTTCAAATGACAAATACTGCAGTGCTTTTCTCCAGCCCTGGCAATTTACCCAATAACCCCTTCCAGTATACTAGAGAAGAGGTAAGTTTCATAGCTTTTCTATTTGGTTGTCTCATCTGCCTCCACATATGAGTAAAAAGTTGCACTCTATTTTACAGTTGTACATAATTCATCTTTATTTCCTAGTATCTTGGCACTTGTTCCTTATCATATTTATCGTCTCTCATTCAGGACTGAAAGATAACTGATCATCCAACTTGCCCCTCATGCTCTTGATATATTTTTAGCAAGCACCTCATGTTTTGTCCTCATTGTCTTGAATACTTGAAAACAGCTCTCAAGAAACATTCACAAAGATATCTTATTTTCTTTCCTGAAATATCCTCTTAGCATTCATTCTCTGTTGTCAAGATGTCCCCAACACTGTGTTGTATCTATATCCTGTAGAAGATCTCTTTTTTCTTCAGTGCTTCCCTCTCAGGACTCATATGTTATTTCATGATTTATACTCTGTGCACTTGGAAGTCTTATTTTTCTACTGTATTTCAACAGTGAAATCCTGCTCTGTCACTACATTTGCTGTGTACTCACATGGTAAAACAAAACTATTGTGACTATCAGAATTAATGCTTGGGGTTTATATTTTAAAAAATATTAAGAAGGAATAAAGTTTAGGGCAGTGTTAAACAGATTACCTTCAATAAAAAGTATTAATGATCAAAGATTATATCCAAGAAGCCTTTATTTTTGGCCCTGAGATTATCAAGGAGATGCAATAAGAAAAAAAGTTGGTGAACTCTACATAAAAAATACTCAACAGCAAAGCTGGAGCCACCCTTTGCTTGCTAACATGTACTGCAGAGAAAGAACACAATTATGATTTCCCTACAAGTCAAGCATATGCCAAAGTTTAGTTTTACAAGGATTAATTGAGGCAAAATCTGATGCTGCAACTATTTCTGCCAAAAAATTAACTGATTTAATGTACTCCAGTGCTCCAAAAGCTAATGCCTTTTATTGTGCCAAGGTACTCTTTGAAATAGGCATGGGATGAATTAGTGATGAACGTCTGTGTTTACAGTCATTTCAATCCACCCATGATCTCAGCAGATTGAAGACCTTAGTGGGACTATTACCATTACTCCTGAAGTACATAAACACAGTAACATCAAGAGGTATGAGGTATCCTTAACACGGTAGTTTTTGATGATGGAGTGATTGTGAGCAGCCCCTGCATTCCACAGTGCCCGGAGGAAAGGTGGCTGCTGCCCAACTACAGATGCACCTCTGAAGTAAAAAATATCTTGAAAACTCCCATCTGCAATATAACTTTCCTTGACGCCCAAGATCTCAAGAACTACACAATAATTTACTACTATTCTATCAAGGAAGAATTGTCTGCCTTTGTTCTGCTGGGTCTCTCAAATATCTATTGATATGTTTAATTGATATGTTTAGTTACTTTTAATATTTGTGGTGTGTCTGAAAACATTCTTTTTTGGAAGCTGAAGTCATTACCTTATCTTAAAATTTTTCAAGTGTCTGTTATTTTAAAAATTGACAGAGAAATGAGCAGAAGGCACTGAATTTTCAAAAATGCTGACAACTGATCCTGCCTTCAGGCTTGTCCACTGAATACACAAGTCATAATATTTCAATATGTTAATGAGACAGAGCTATGTGTGTATATAAATGTGTATACATATCTATAGCTGCCCCTGTTCAGGAATCAATCTGGCTTTTCTGTTTCATTCTTACCCTAGAAAAATGCTCAGACAATGCTAAGAAATGAGCACTGACTCTACCACAGTAAAGGAGGCTAATATAAACTTTTCTGTTCATTAACAACTTGCATACTAAAAATGGTCAGAATGTGCAAAGTGGGGAAGTAACGTTAGAGTCTGATTTCCATGAAGGGAACTAAAATCTAACACAAACAAAAGTCACTACACAACAGTCACTTAATAACACCTTGTTTCTTTATAGAGATTCCTGACTTGTGTCACTTCTTCCTGAAGGCAGAGAGCAGCTAGCAACCAGAAGAACAAGCTGGCTTAGGAAACGAGGAGCTGTTTCTCAAAAAGGGCTTTAATTTCTAAGGGAGACAGCATATTGGCTAAAGACCAGCTTAAGCAGAATCTAGAAACCTGGAACAGAGTCCTGCTTTTGAAAGGCAGGACTTTCAGATCTATTAGACTGGGAAATTAGTGGGAAATTGAAGAGAAAAAGGTCTTTAAATAATTCTTTCACACACTACCATACAACAGTCCCCAGAACACATATGCTAAGGCACTCTTAAAGACAGCTGGTTCTAAACAACTGTTTTTGCTAAAATCTAAAATGCATGAACACAAGTGAAAGAATGCTGGCAAAAATACATAAAGGCAGTAGTATGGCTATATTAGTTCATATCACCCAGACTACACTAGGCATTTTTACTCTCTCTTTGAATCCCCTTTGTTTTGAGTATGTTATCTATGAGTATATACAAGCATGAGCATGTGTAAGTGTGTAGCAAGGAAAGAAAATGGATTTCCATGGATTGCTCTGTGCTTACCCTAATGTGTATCAGCACAATTTTACAGGCATACATTATTTAGAAGTAGTGCAGAATTTTCAGGCTAAAAAAAATGTATTTTTTCTGAGATTTTCTGCCATTCTTGTGTGACTGAGAATGAGTTCAAGAATATTCATAAAATCTGAAACTAATTTTTCTAATGAAGAAAAGAGGAATGTTGTATTTCTTTCAATGCAACATACACGGATTCTGCAATACAAAATGTCAGACATTTACATTGTTTTAAGGATTTGGGGCAAAATGTATAATTCTAGAATATTTTCTGATAAAACCAGAGCCAGTTGTGTTGCAATGTTTCTGGATACAACACAGCAGCTGAAGTGCATGACCCTTCCACAATACAGCAATCCTTGACAGTTATTCACATGGAACAAAAAAAAGGAAGACTCTGCTTTATCCACAATGATTGTCAATCAGTATGCACCACAAAGAGGACTAGAAAAAAAATCCAATTTTTCTTCTTTAGTTTGGCCATAAATATAAGTAAAGATAATTTTGATATTGCTGAGTTTTCACTCAACAAATCATTTTTCCATTAAATAATAATTCAAGTAGGAAATTTAATAAAGATGCTTACAATTTCTACTGTTTATTACAGTCAAACCCAAACTTTAGTCTAAACTAATTTAAAAAATAATATGCTGCAGTTGTATGCATATCAATGAGTCAAGTTGGTGTGCTGCCTCATTTGGTATGCAGAACAAGTTCATTGAAGCTGAGAATGAAACTTGATTAAATATGAAAGCATGATGACTGAAAGCAAAAACAAACAAAAAAAAAGAGCTGCAGAGAGCATAGGCAATAAACAAGCAAAGGGAATAAAAAGGGAAGACAAATAGGGTGCTGGTAAACGAAAAAGAATAGATCTACATAAACAGAAATATATTTTACCTGTCATCCTCTTTCCCTTCCTCAGCTTGGTCTTGAGCTTTTTCATCATGCCCTGATTCTTTGATCTCCTCCTTATCACAGTTCTCTGTCACCTCTTGCCCTTCCCCTTTTTCATTAATTTCTTGCTCTTTTGCTTTTTCCTCCTCCTCTTTTTCTTCCTCCTCAGGAAATACTTCATCTTGTTCATCCCCTTCCAGCCCTCCCTCTTTTTTCCCCTCTATATCCCTTGTCCTTCTGAAGTCAACAAAAATTGAAAAGACATGCAAAAAGAAAAAAGAAAAGAATAAATTAAAGTTAGGAGAAGAGCATGCATGAAGAAAGGAAATGCAAAAGAAATGAAATAGAAACAAAAGAATAGAAGCACACATAATGTACGTCATGCTTGCTAGGAGTCCAGCCTATATTAGAGAGCTTTGGAGCATTTTCTTAGTAAGTCCTTATTCAAATAAAATTTGCATGGCAATACCTCACATTTAGAAAGAAATGTGTGACAGAAACATTGTGGTCCTAACAATGCTCATATGAGCAGATGCTTAAATTTGCAAATGCTTTCTTTTAAGAGGACAATTTTCTGAGAATTACTACAGGTGATGGAGGTGGGCTACATCTTCTAGAAAAATTATCTTTCATTTGAGCACCAAATGAAACCCAAAGCTCCTCTGAGGGCAAACAGGGTGCAGGCAAAGAAAATGCTGTGTTTTGGTCACAGATACACAATGTTCATCTTGTTGAAGAGCAGCTCAATGATTGTACACTTACAGTTGAATTGGACTTGTGTAAGTATTAAATAAATTGAATTGGTCTCTGTAAGTATTAAGTAATACATCTATAAAAGTTCAGTGTTCTATTGAAAAGAAAAATAAGATGCCTCTTCTGTCACAAATTTTTGAGTTAAACTGTCTTTTCAGCCATATTAAGTATATTTTACCAAATGGTTTTCAGAAAGCGTGTCTAATGCTTGCTGACAGCATATGTTTGTTATTTCAGTGTATGTTAGATAATCCAAAACAACAAAACTTGGCTGAAAACAAATTCCATGAAGACTTCAAGAAGCATTAGGTAAAAAAGACATTTAAGCCAGAATTTTGCAAAATCCCTGCAAATGTCAATCTGGGCGAAATGCTAATGTCAAATACAAATATTGATAAGTGTTCCATCACTAAAATGACACAGCTATAGCTGACACCATAGCTCAGCATGCTCACCTGATTTTCTTGTTTCCCCTTGGGCGCTCTGACTGCACAGACATGTAGCTCGTGCTGCTGAAGCGGGAAGCGCTGCTGGTCCGGGACACGGCCGAGACGTCGCTGACATCGCTGTCCGAAGACTTGTTGGAAACATTGTCTGAGCCTCGGTGAGGATCCCGCCCTGACCGATACTGCAAGAGCAAAGGGACAAAGGTATGGTGTTGTTGTGACATGATGCCACAGAGCAGCTGTGGAACTGGTCCCTCCTGCTGTCTAAACTGCCTTTGTCACCACACTGCCTGAACTTTTGAAATTAAGTTTTTCCCTGATACCGAATAGAAGTTATGTCTTGGTATCTATTAATTTTACTCTGCTTTGCTATCCCGGTCCTCAGTTTCAACTTGTACAAAATTTCCAGCATGTCCAGAAGTTTCACAAAGCTTAGAAAAGACGTTCAAACCCTCATAGAATATTCTTACCACAGCTGTTTCACCAGTGCAGAAAGGAAAGCAGAGAGATTAGTGACTTGCCTATGATTACTGAGCTCATGAAAGATTAAACAGGAGACAGAATGTGCTGCATGCTATCTATAAAGTACAAGTCTCTTTTGGGGCCTAGCCTGTTTACAAGAACTTCTAACTGACAAATGTTATTTTTTTTCTTTTCTAAGTAAATAGATAAGATTATCAAATCAAAAGACAAAGTGATGTTGCAGCTCTGCAAACAGACCCACATCTTGCTGAACTTCTGGGCTGGGAAGTCTGAAAGGATGGGACTGGACTAGAGGTGATTTGTAGGGAAAATGTACACTTGCCTCAGAAACTAAAAGATTACAAACGTATTTGAGCTTAGTAATATCAAAGATAGAACTGGCAGGTGACTGGTGATCAGCAGTAAGTTCATACAACATAGACAGTATCATGCAACAGTATTCATGTTTGATCTTAACAAAATAAAATGGATATTTGTTTTTGTTACACATTAGTGCTAAATTAATGTTAAATCTGTGCCACTCTGCATGGCACTATATGCAAATATAGTAAATAGCGGAAAGATATTTTTCCTTCTCTTTATATACAGGCATTTCTGTGTATACAGAAATCTGATGGCTTGCTACTGGTAACCTTTTCAGAAAAATAGTACCTCAAGATGAATTGTCAATGATCACCAGGTGATTCTTTGGAAATAAGACAGAGTAAGAAATAAGTACTTTGGAAATAAGTACAGAGCAGTACAGACAAAGAGCAAAACAGACAGGACTGAAAGAAAACAATGGGAGAAAATAATCTACCCAACACATCAGTGGCTTGTTGAACTCTTGGAGATAGCAACATAGTACTCAGCCACATGTAGAAAATAAATCATAATGTAAAATGGCAGACCTGTGTAGTACTGCAGAAGAGAAGGGTGTCCAGGTTTAGCCATTAAATGGGTCCCTTTTTTATAGTTTTAGAAGAACTGTCTTTCATGAGCTACACAGATCATTTGATTCTGCTCTCTTGCAAGGAATGTTACACTGGGAAATATTCTGAAAGACTGTGCAGTATCTAAATAGGATTTCAAATATATCTCAATAGGATTTCAAAATAGCATTTCAGTGCCTTTCCTCAGAAATTATTTTTACATGTAGAAATAGTAAGTTATTTTGCTCATTTTAAGACAGGGAAATGAACAAGACAAAAATGCTCATGCAAGTTAGACTGTATATCTGCTGCAGAGTGACCAATCATAGCCATAACTCCACATTCACAAAAATGGTTGCACATTCTATGCCAATCCTTATCATTCTTCCTGATCTCTACTAATTTACCATACTTGTGTTCATCAACAACCACTCAAGTCCCTACCAGCCTTTAAGTGTAAAAGTGAACTTAGCCACCCATAAACTCAGAGTAACTCTGTGTTTATAACAGTCAAAAGTTTTACTATTTACTGACTGTTTCTATTGATCCCATTAATGGTTTTGTTTGATGAAGTGCATATTATTACTTATATATTCAATTGAGAATGAAAAAGCAATGATTAAACAGCTTTCCTGATCATCAGAGATAATGGAATATTATAACAGAATAGAAGGAGTGTCCTTTTAAATCAGCAACTACTTAGCCCTTTAGAGAAATATAAAATAACTGTGCCTAGAGAATTGTTCATGTATTGAGTCCTATCCCCCCGCCTAACTTTCCCTAGGATGATTCTTCATTTAAGACAAAGTTATGAATGTGTTTCTGCTGATTTAGCCTAAAGCTACCAAGACTGGGAATGCGGCCTGGTGTAGTGGGCTACCGTCACACACTATGGCAAAGGCAACGCAGAGCTGCCCTCGGGCCTGCAGCACCAACTGAGCCCCCAGGAAGGTGTCACTGCTGTGCCAGCATGTGCTGCCATGGCCACACTGCCACTGGATGCCACCAAGCCAAGGGACAGCCAAGAAATCAGTGGCTGTGTGAGCAGGGGTCCTGCTGCCCGCGACGCTGGGCTCGCTGCCGGCGTGGCAGAGCTGGCGTGGCTCTGCTCCGGGGAACACAGCACCGCGTGTAAACCATTGACGGAATTGTTAATCCTACTGCAGCTGGGGGATGGATAATTGGGTGTGGTGACTCTCAGAATAACAGGACTCAGCCTGCAGATCCTACACTGAGCTTGCCCAGCAGTCCATGGAAATGAGCCCTTCTAAATTAAACAGAAAGTGGCGAACAGAATCAGCATTGCACAAAGTTCTTGTAGAGTCATTCTGCAGTACACAAAGTGTCAAAAATATGTGGTTTTGATTTTCTGTTTAATTTCCACACCTAGAGCATGTCAGTTTTTAAACTACTACATAGCAATGTGGTGTATATAACAAATCAGACATTTCCATAAATAAAAAAACCTCTTATTGTGTTGGTTCATTTTTTGTTGGTTTTTTTTTTTTTTTAACAATGCAATAGTAATAATCTAGTGATATAGAGTGAAGACTGAGACCTTAAAAGTAAATAATTTTAGAAATATAATGTGGAAAAGGTCTTCAAATCATTACCTTGTCTCTTTTTTCTCAGTTGTACATAAAGGTATTTCCTATTAAATGCTTTTTGTTGAGACAGATGTCACTGAAATTTTGTTTGACTGTTACAGCTTCAGGATGTTTTAAGATTAAAACTGGGAAAGTTAATTGATCTTTTCATTAAATTGGAATGTCTTAATATACAATATTTTTTAAAGGTTTTGTTTATATCTTGTCTGAGTTACAGTCTCTTGTACCTTGCCTGAGTAACAGTTACCTGCTCTAATATATACAAAAAAGCCGCCTACCAAGGAAATGTAAATAAAATGTAAATGATATTAAATTGTCTTTCTTGCTAGACAAAGTTCAGATACCTCATATTCACTCATTAGCTGCTCCTAATTACCCTTTATTCTGCTGCTGAGGTGTAATTTTAACCTTATATCTGACTTAATTTTGTTTAAGAAACTGATTACAGTAGGGTATTGCACATTAGTCTTTCTGTTACTCCAGGACAGAAGACCAAAGGAACCACATTGTTTGTCTGAGAAAAGCCATGATGCCATTTTAGTTTTGAATTTGTTTCTTAAATTGAGGTTCTATACAAGGCAGCTTTTGAAGTGCTCCTTTGCTGACTGCCTCAAGAGTAAAATTGCACTTCCACTGTGTGAATATTGATTTTTTCAAAAGCATTTAGTCCTCATGTCATATATTCCACCTGCAAAATGCAACCATTTTTTCAGTTTTGTCCTACTGCTTTTTCAGCTTTTGTGTGGTTAAAGTTGTCCCAAGGCATCACATCTTCCTATATTTCACATCCAAATTTCTTTCTTCCTGCAAATTTCACTTTCCTTTTTTCCTAAGTGTCACCCACTGTATGACAAGATCAACTATTGGACTGAAAAAGTAATTTTTAACCAAGTGCTATCCCCCCATTACATCTGAAAAACAGATACCATTTCCCACCCGTCTCCAATGCTGTCCCTGTGTCCTGTGCTGTAGGATTTGCACCATCTGACTGCACACCGACATGGAACTGCAGTTCCCATGGCTGGATCAGCATGGCCACTGATTTTGATCATTGGCTGCAGTGCTCCAATATCCCTCAGCAGAAAACATGAGTGCAAGGACAGTAATGAGCATCACACCTCCCCTGGGTTGAACAATTAGGTGGTCAGGGGGTGGTGAAATGTACCTTCTCACTATAAAGATTACCTAAAAGTTTTCTTTCATATTCTTTTTTTTTTTTTTCTTTTTTAAATGCCAGCCCCAACAGTAGGAAAATTATCTCCTGAATTTCCCCAGGCTGGAAATATTGTTGGAATATGGTTAAATTTTCATTTCCACCCCAATAAAGACTCATATAATAAAGGCAATATTCTGGACTTTACGACCCATTAAGCAGTCAACCCAACCTCTTCAAGATGCTTCAAAAATGGGAAGTCTGCTGAAAGCAGAGGGATTGATTAAAAGTTGCTTTTGAAATTTTAATAATAAGATGGTTTTGTCCTATTTTGCAATGCTGAAGAATGAGAATAATTTAATTATTACAGATTCTATCAAACAAGTATTCCAAAGTTTCTAAAAGCATTTTTATCTGTGTTAGCAGAATAATTGGCTGGAGAGCCTCACAAAAGGACAGTTAGGTGTTAGTACTTATGCCTTTTAACTTCAAGAGATTACTGTCCTTTAGTGACAAATTCATGGTTATTAAAGCTGAAAAACAAATACCTACTCTGCTTCCTAAAATAACAACCTCTGCAAACATTTTGACCTCTTTGTGAACTACCAGTAAATGGCTGACAGGACACATAGAGCTGCAACTTGTCTGACACGGATGCTCTTATTTGTGAAACTTCTAGTTCAAAGGAAGTTTTAAAGTGTGTCATATTGCTTTACTCTATTGTTACCAGTCTTCCATCTTGGACTATACAGTCATGCAGTTGTCCAGGCAATTGACATTTTCAGTGATTTCTAAATATCTTTCTATTTTATTATCTTTTCTTTTTTTATAGTCTACTCATCAGGTTTTATTTGCTAGCATAGCAAATAGGGACATACAAATCTGGTCAATGTTTTCAGTGATCAAAATTTTGGGAAGATGTTTCAGACAATTGTCTATTGTGCTACAACCAGAAGATTAAAGAACCATTCTGGACTATTTCAATAGTTCTTTGGCTCACAAACAAAAGCTCTCAAGCAGCCAGAGCA